TTTTTCCTTGAACAATTTCTCCCTGCATTCTATCAATTTTGTCATTGTTGAGACTATACACAGATCACCATCTACCGGTCTTGGTCCTGGTTTCTACGTGCACCACGTGGGGACATTGACGCCATTCCTTGAGTTGTGCGACCATCCCCATCTTTTTCGGAGTTGCTCCTTCCTCATTAACATCCGTTCACCACCGCCCCCACCCCTTCCCTACGGCTCCTGCCTAATTTTTCAAGTTGCAGTTGTCAACGGCATATGTGGGCGGAGGCACCCTTCTGAGTATGAGCTGAGTGCCATCCCCCGGGAGAGGGGCCCTGTGGGGAGGTTCACAAGTGCAGGGTGATGTAGGCACAATAGGATGCCCTCGTTTGAACATTTTAAGTCTTGTTGGCCTGACTTGGTCCTCACTAGCCCAAACCCAACAGTGCAAGCGGCACTGCCCAATGTATGTCATAATAATAGCTGGCTCTAGGGGGAGCTCTTCACTGTGCCAAATGTGTCCTGAGAACGTGCTCCAAGGTCGTTATGTCTGCCTTCCAAACCCTTTACGGAGTGTGAACACGGAGGTTGCATGCGATTGTCAGAACTCAACTCACTCTTGCCGCCCACGTCAAACCAGTTGCCATCCAGTGAATTCCAGCTTCGCGTGGCAGAGTAGCATTATGCCCCATAGGGTTTCCGGTGGCTGATTGGGGGGAAGTGGATCCCCAGCCTTTTCTTCCTAGGTGCCTCTAGGGGGCTCAAACCTCCAGCTTTTTGGTTAGCACCAGAGTGCTTCACTTTGTGCTGCCCAGGAACTCCTCACTGAGCGTCCGATCGGAAATAGGTTGGAAGTGTAACTTCTATACAATGGGTCTTGGAGGGTCAGAAGGGCACGGGGCAAACAAGGGGAGACTATGGTGTTGAAGACCCTTGGTGGCGTCGTGGTTACACAATGGGCTGCTAGTCACAAGGTGAGCCAGTTCAAAACCACCAGCCACTCGGAGGGAGAAATAGGCTCTCTGCTGCTGGAGAGATTTAGTCCCAGAAGCCCCAGCGGTGGTTCTACTCTGTCACCTAGGGTCACTAGGAGCCAGAATTCACTCCGTGGCAGGGAGTTTGGGTTGGGTTTGTGGTCGATTGCCTTTTTTGTTGTGCCAGTTTGTTGATGCGTGCCCAGGGGCCTGCGTCAGTTCCCCTCGGTGCCAGCTTGTTCATTTTCAACGTGCGAACAATTGGAGTTAAACAGCATCATGTGTCTGGGAGCATCTGATACGGCATCATGCGTCTGAGAGCCTCTGCTGGGTGGTGTCAGAGCAACCAGCGATGAACTCAAGGATCAATTCCAACCCACTGCCAACAACTCACAGCAAGACTGCACAGGGTTTCTGAAGCTCTAAACCAGTGGTTCTCAACCTGTGGGTCTCGACCCCTTTCACAGGGGTCACCTAAGATCTTCAGAAAACACATTTCTGATGGTCTTAGGAACGGAGACACTGCGCCTCTATCCGTCTCCAGATGGGTCTGCCCACATGCAGATACGCCCACATACAAGTACCCGGCGTGAAGACTGCTACCCATGTTACACCATGCTTCAAGGCAAAATTTCATTTTTTTGTCATTAGAAATATGTCACAACATATAATGACATTGTTTTTGTGATAAATCACC